GGGGTCTTTGGGTCACAGCAGTGAAAAAGCTGACTAAAATCTTGGCTCAGCTTTTAAATAAAATTTACSACAAGTTGTAACTGCATTTTTATTTTTATTTTTTTGTGGACATGATTTGCCTATGTTTATGTTCTACCTAGATTCCCACGAGTCTGTAAGCTTCAAAGATAATGTCAAGGTGGTCAGTCATGGTATAACTAGAGCCTGACAGAGCTCCTGGAGTTTAGGTACTTCCCAGTAAATACTGTAAAATCAATAAAGAATAGTTCCCACTGTGTGCAAATGTGTTGAAATATGGGCTGTGTGGCTGAACTAAAATGTTCTGGTATCTTAGTGATATATTAAGGTGTAGTAGCATCTGGTCCATTTCATCAGTGAGACTTAAAGATTTCTTTCTGTTTGAAAGCATCAGGCTTTGGTGGTTTTAAAATATGATATATTGTTAYAATCTCACTTATAATACCCTCTCAGGAGCCCAAAGATGAAATGTTTCCCATATTGATTGACTTGACTATTTCTATTTATAGAGGTAAACAAGGMAGGAACTTTATAAAACCCTTTACAACTCCAGCAGGTGGTATTGATAAACTGTCATTGATTTATTAGCTCAATAGGGCCTGAAACTACTGTCCATTAAGTGGAGTAACAATTTCTCTGGTTATATTTCTTATTATCCTGAGAGTGACTTTGCTTATAACGTAGTGTTGATTGTAATCGTGGCCCTGAAACTCTGCATGCCTACTTGTGGGAGGTCTCTGCATGTTTGACTMGTTGCTTGCAATATCTGGGACATAAGAACACACATGGGAGCCATTGCAGGAGCTAAGTGGATAGCTGCCCTTGAATTTCCAGAGCAAAGGTGCACATTGACAAGTGGATCTGATTCATGTTCAACTTCTAATGCTAAAGRTTATCAGTCAATTTCCAGCCCATCTGATTTTATCCTGGCTTTACATCTGAAAGAGGGAACTTGAAAAATGAATTGGGGTGGGTGTGTGACTATGGGTTCAATTCCTAGCACAGCCTCCCTGCCCCCCAAGARAATAAAAGGAAGAAAAAGGAGTTGGGAAATCATCTCTAATCAGGATTTCTGACCAGACCATTCACATGATCTTAACTCTAAGGGAAGAGGCTTTCTCCAAGACACTGAGCCCTGTGCTCTGATGTCACTACTCTMTGCTCTGTTGGGTCAGTAGACTTAGTGTAAGAATGGCAGGTGTCTTGGGATGATTTCCCCCAGCAGTAAACTCTTAGGCAGGGATATAAGTGAAAACAGGTMATCTGGCAGGTAATACCAGGATACACCCATTCAGTGGGGAATTAGAGGAGGCAGCCATGGAAAGATAGGTCATCAAGTCAGTGACACTGTGGGCAACTAGGCTTTTTCCTGCTGGGGAACCCTGAAAACCACACAGAGCACATGCCTCAGAGTTTTGCTATCTGARGGGCAAGAGAGTTGGGGCATTTACATCCCAATTCTCATTAGTTGTTTGTGGAGGGCTACYTCCAGAAGGCGTTAGATCTTCCTCCATACTTCCTTCCTGCTTTGGGCATGGGCAAAGCAGGTTCTAGCAACCAGAAAAAAACCCTCCAGCAAAAAAGACTCAGGTACTATAGCTGGTAGGTGGGAGACGCACACTGRACAAGGACAAGAGGTTGCATGGTTAACGCTAAACAAGAGTTACTGACTGATGTTTAAGGGTGTGTGTGTCTGAGAGGAAAAAAAAAAGAGGGATTTAGGTTTCTATGTGGTGCAACGTGTCTTTGTGTTGTGTGGCAGTGTTTGGGTGCRTATCTTGATATCAAGTGTGTAATAGTAAAATTAATGAACTAGTTGAAAACCCGGTGCCTGTAATGAAAGTTTGGAGAATTCAAATAATTTCTTCAAAGCACTGAATGTGATGCCACCAAGTTATGGAAATGTAGTGTCAAAAAAAAAAAAAAAAGAAAAGAAAGAAAAAAAAATAATACCACTAAGAGCTGGTATTTTGGAAGAGGAGGCTATGGAACAGGTGCTCTGCTAGTGTGTAATGGGGATTGTTATATTTAATCATCACAAAAGTCTATAATATAGATTGTAATATAGATATAATTATCACCCTCAGTTTTTTTGGGTCAGAAGAATGAGGCACAGAGAAATTAAGTCACTTTTCCAAGACTACCAACCTAAAGGAAATGAGAAATTCTGTCATTCAACCTGTCCATCTTATGGATGGAGAAAATGTATCCTTCAAGGKCAGTGTCTTGACCAAGGTCACACAGTGCTGTAGGTTGGGCTAGGTCTAGACTCAACCTCTACCACAGTCCCTTTTAATCAGACTTACTCATACTTAGATGCTTAGTCTCTGGCAGTTTCATTTGCAGCTGAGTGCTAAGGAAACATCCCAGAGGGTATCTRGGGCAGCACCCCAGGTGGTTTGCCAAGTACCTGTTTCCCCTCCATTGCTCCTCTCATCTCCTTGAATGTTGAGGTAAATTCTCCAATGAAGTCATGCTTGCCATTGGAGTCCCAGTCCCAGACTATGCACTGCAAAAGACAGAAGAGTTATTCTTATTATTATTTTTAAATTAAGAATGTTTCCACAACAACTGAAGGCAGTGTGAACTTTATGAGGAAGAGCAGATGAAAGACATTTGTTTTCCAACAAAAGCTCAGCAGTCTGGCGTTGCAGCATGTAAGATGTAGTATTTTTTTTTTTTTTTTTTTTAGATTCCATAGCATTTTACTCAGTCTTTTGTTCCTGCACTCTCCAAACAGTTCTACGAGGCAGCAGCAGCTACAATAATTTGTCCATTTTTTTCAGATAGGTCAGGAAGACACAAAGGAGAAAAGTGACTTGTTAAAAGGTCCATCTAGTGAATGAAAACCCAGGACTTGAAGGCAGGTGTCCTGCCTTAATTCTGGYGCTCTTCCCCATCATAGACAGCCCCTGGTTTAGAGCTGGAGTTGGATGCCTGAGCCCAAATCTTTTGCTTTCACAATGAGACCTTCTGTTAGTAATATGAATGGGGCCATGATGATCACATTTTTCTCTTTCTGTACATTTTTTTTTGGTCTGATGGCAAAAGAGAATTGCCAACAAAAATAAATAAAAAKGAAAAACAGTGAAGCCTTTAATTGTACCCACAAGAAAAATGGATCAAAGTTGGGGACCTATAAGCCATGTTGGTAAATATCACGCATCCATTTCATACAAGCTGCAAATTGTTCACTTCTAACAAGAGGGCTCCTCCTAACTCTGTTAAGGCTTAATCCTGGGGGTCCAAGCAACACTTTGTAGAGTGAATAGATCAAATCAGCATCGATCCCTCTGCTTGGCCTAGGTGAAGAGAAAAGTCCCTATATATATATATATATATTTTTTTTTTTGAAGGGTAGTGGCTGGACTAAAGTCTCAAGCACTTAGACATCCCTTTTATATTTTAAGCCAAAGCTGTGCAGCAAAGAAATCTCAGACTTCAAATAGGATAAAGGCCGCCTGTGGGAACTTTAACTTAGACGCTTCCCCCAGGACATTAGGGTTCAAAGAGSCAGCCTTGTCTTTTCTCAAGAATGCACCTCCTATTGTCCAGTCTGTTTGAAAAACCTGACTTGTAATCTGTTCTCATATCATGTGGGATGCCCCACAGATCCACAATGGAATCTGTTCAAAATGAAACAAATTTTMCACTGAAGCTATTTCTCATTTATTGATTGCTCATTTATTTTCTGCAACAGTGAATTGTACCAATACCCATCCCATGGGTACAAACAAGAAACTTGGCATCCTTCCCAATATTCCTCTTTCCCCTCACTCTCACACATGGGGTCCTCTCCATCTGTCTCCTAAATATTGTTGACTCCAGCCTTCTCTTCATTCCTACTGCTCCTTCCTAATCTGTGTTACTACAATATGTTCCCAGTCTCTTTGCCTCCCTTGGACCTTCTCTGTCTATAATCCACTGATTATATTAATCACCTGCTTCAAATAAAAATGAAGATAAGCTAATAAGTCTTCAAAGGTATATCATGGTCTGGCTCCCTCAATATTCCCAAATTTACTCTTTGGGAGTAAATAATAATCCCTGTTTATAATATTTTTTAAAATATGAGGTTAGCTGGAATTAAACACATTTGCTAAGGCTTTTTTTTCCTTTCTCTTAAAGAGAAACTAATTTCTTAGCCATTTCTCTCTCTTTAAATGTAGAGAATTTGTTAGATAATTCTTTTTTTTAAGAAACCATTAATAAATAAGCCCTTTGATGATGAAAGAATGCATTAGAATAGATCAGAATGGAAGAGGTAAAGGGGGACTAAATTGCTCTGCTAAAAAGAAGTAATGGCCAAGTTGAGTGTTTTCTTTGGTAACTAGAGACACAGAGGTGAGACACAGGGGTGGGGTTAAGAAGAAATTAGGGCAGGTTTCATCAGAGGGCCAATGATAGACGACTGTAGTTTGAATCTTAAATGTGCCCCAAAGGTCCAATGATCCCCAGCCTGTGGTGCTGTTGGGGGGTGGGTAGAACTTTTAGAAGGTAGAGCCCCATAGAAGAAAGTTAGGTCATTGGGGGCAGGCCTTTGAAGGGAATATACAGACCCGGGCTCCTCTAATTCCTCTCTCTTTGCTCTGGGCCTCCATCAGTTAAACAGACCTTCTCTACTATGTGCTCCTGTCCTGGTATGCTGCCTTGTCATAGGCCTAGAAGTYATGGGCTAACTGACCCTGGATGAAAGTTTCAAAACTGTGAGCCAAAATAAATCTTTCCTCTTACAAAGTTGATTATCTCAGGTATTTTGTCACAGTAAYAGAAAGTTGACTGACACATAGATTCAGCATTGGGATGGGAGGAGGTRAGAGATGGGTAAGAAACTTTAAAACCATGATGTCTAAATTTCTCCTCCATCCTCACCACTTACTTTCCCCCTCCCATTAACCCTGAGATACCAGTAAATGTGCAAGCCATAAGAGTATCATGCGAATGGTGACTTGGAGAATAAATGAGAGGACCATGTTCATATTTCGGGGACAAGCAGTCCAGAGGACTGTGTGAGATGACCTACAACAAGACTGAGAGTTGAGTGAAGCTCAGGACTGTGGATCAAGAGCTTGATATTTAAGTCCTAGGAGTGGAACACCACAGAATTACTGTGGAGGGCTGTCACTTCTGTAGAAACTCTGACTTAAAATTCAAGTTTCTTTATTTAGAATTTTTTTTTWAAAAAAAAAGTTTGACCATAGAAAATTGCACAATTACAATTAACACTCAATCAAAATTATTACTCAATTTAAACTAATTTGTTGGTCATTATATGTTTACTCAATCTGCAGATGCTGAAAGCAAACTATTATCATATGAAAGTCTGAAAATTCTTTTGGTTAAAAAAATTACTCTTGAGCCTATACAATTTGCTTATAGTGCTATGACTAAATATATCTGGTTTTCTTTCCAACTGCAWAATAGGATTGTATTTCTTTGTCTCCTTGGATATTGAGGTAGCTCCTATAACTTGTATTGGCTGGTAAAATATAAGAAAAAGCTATTTGAACACTTTCAGAAGGAAGCTTTGAGAGCTGGAGCATGATTTACAAGGTTTATCTCTCCCTATGCCTCAGTGATCAACAACATAGCAGCCTTTCTATCAACCCTATGAGAGGGTAACATGCAGCAGAGCTCTCAGATGATCCACAATGGACATATACATATTCAAGAAACAAATATCTGTACTACAACATAACCTACTCTAAGAATCATTTAAATATGTAAAGCATTGTCATTAGAAAAGTTTATAATTTACTTTGATTCCACAATGGGGAAAAACAGAATTTGGAGGGGAGGTTACAAAAAAACAGCAAAGAAACATTTACTATAATTAAATCTATTAAAAAACAAAATAGTATAAAAAGTATGTTTTGGGCTGGGATTGTGGCTCAGCGGTGGAGCACTCGCCTAGCACGGGCGGGACCCGGGTTCTAACCTCAGCACCACATAAAAATAAAGGCATTGTGTTGTGTCCATCTACACCTAAAAAGATAAATATTTTTWAAAAAGTATGTTTTATTGCTGAAACTATTCAAGTGTAAGCTGCAGGCACACAAACATAATGAAGAAAGTCAAGTGCAGAAAGTATAAAGGACTTTATGGGACATTGATGGATTTGAACTTCCTTCTAACTTGGAAATGGTAAGATTAGTTCCAGTTGCACAGGGTTCAAAACAAAGTCAATGAGAGGATTAGTTCAATTTAGTTGAAATGCAAAGCAATGCAATGTGGCTTTGGTAGGAATTGTGAGAGCCTCTTTTGAATTCAAGGTACAATGAAGTTCCACCTTTCTTTCCAGTGGACAGTGGAACAAATCGATGATCTGGTCATTTGGCAAAGTGCTCAGGATATGCACCATAAGTTTACCCTCCTTACTGACTGACACTCAGACATTATGTGGAGCAAGAAACACAATAAAGCTTGCTGCGCCTGGACAGAGAAAGAAGGATGCTTTCTAAGATCTTTTCCTTTTAAGTCTCATAATGTTGCTCCAAGTAAATCCAGCCTGCAGAATGCTTGAGGGTGACACTCAGCGACTTACTCTTTTACAAAGGAAAAGGCAAAGGAGGCAGATGCAAGTAAGAGAAAAAAAAAAAAAAAAAAGCAGAAGCAGCCTTTAAAAAACATTCCCCTGCATTGTCAAAGAGAGTAGTAGTCTTCTTCTTTAGGGGAAGGGGCAGAAACCATATGGAACTCCTTCTTGGCCCTTTCTTAGATTCTCCACCATGCTTGGGTTAGTTCCCTTCCCTTCTTCATCTGTCAGGATGTTTGTAATGTGATGGGGAAGAAAGAAGTGACCACCCAACCTCCCTGAGCTGGAGGATGAGTTGTGCTTGACACGTCTCCCACTAGGTCTTTCCAACCAGGCACCACAGCTTACTCAGAYCTTGCTTCTTCCATCAGCTGGCATTGCTCAGAATGGCAATTGCAGAATTTYATTTTGACCTTTCTCAGAAGGGATCCCAAAGGAAGGAAGACATGGTGAAACAGACAAATAAAAATACTTTTTTCCCCTTTCTCCCTACCATGAGGCTAGTTTCTGACAGCTCTGATGAGGCTGACAACAGAAGAATGTATCGTGGCAGAAAGAAAACAGATCAACCACTCTGTAGAAAAACTGAGACAGAGGCATAGTTCCTGGTGTGAATCCATAAGGAGGCCTTGACATATCTGTGAGAGCTTAGCATCTCACAGCTACCCACAAACCAGAAAGCCTTCCCAAGTTCTCACATCTCACAAAGGAGTTTATTAACAGAATTTTAAAATGTCTAAGCTTGACAGACGGTCCAGTTAACCGCCTCAAAGAAAACCCATGGCAGAGACATGACTTTTGCAAGTTCACCCAGGACAGTAGGGACAAAAACCTAGGTCTCCGGCCTCCCTGACTTCACCAGTACTACACAAAAAATTGTAATAAAAAACAGATAGTGCTTACTATGTGCCAGACAGTATTCTGATCTCTTCAGACATATCAAAGCTGAATATCTGCATGCAGGAAAATGAAAT